TGACCGAGTTAAGTACTCCTATGCAATAGTACCAGATCAGTACTTCCTCAAACCGCAACATTGCAGATGAGTCGGCAATTTTTTCGTTGACTTCTCCTAGGCTTTGGATCTAACTAATCAATCACCATGGGTATATTGTATTTGATATATCAAACAACGTCCAAAACGCCGGGATTTTATTAAATAAAATTTGCATGGGTAGTAGACCCTTTGGTTACTTTTGGTCAGCCCAGTCAATGTTAGCATGAGATGCAAGGATGGCATCTGATATTGAAACTGGTGTGACCAGCCAAATACGTGAAAGATAAAAATTATGAAAATTTTGCAAAGGTACGCATTCGCTATGACCTTACAGGATAGCTGGATGTAACGAAAGAAATATGACTAGAAAGCCTTTAGGTTCAACGCCTTTGAAAAACACGCAGCACGCTGGCGTCGTTCATAAACCTTTAACGCCATGCGCGATGTTCTCCGTGTTGGGTAGTGCATTTTATTGCAGTGGACCGGTCTCTAAAGTTGACTTGCTTTTCTTCTAGTGGGTTTCAATCCCATATGATAATCCGGTTCTTTGCTATTTCACTGTGTCTGATATCTTTCTGGCAGCATCAAGGGTTACCAGTCGATCACACGCTGATCTTCAGGTTCACATGTCAAAACGCACAACCGAGCAATAGCACAATTATAAGAAGTGTATTTATTTCAGAAGGCTGTAATAAAATTTCGCACAAAATAACTGCTAACAACAAATCGATTCACACTGCTAAAGGGCAAAGTTGTCAACGGATCAATCAGTTAAATTGAGCGTAATTTATTTTGCTGCAAACGGTAATGCAATTGTCAATTTAAAACTTTACTCTTACTGGAATCTGCATTTCATGCCTAATTTGACGAATGCTTAAAACGGTACAGTATTGAGGTAGTTTCGTGAGGTTGAAATTCAGCTCTACACCGTTTCAATAATCTGGAATGGATTAGAGGTTACTGGGAAGCAATGAATCTCTATTCAAATGCATTTCCTGTAGTATTGTACGTTGAAGGACTAAGTGACACATTTCAAATTATCATCACATTGACACATCGATTTCGAATGAGTGATAATAGAAATTTAGTGATAAGAAATATTTAGATTGAATTTCAGCTGACACAGTTTGGACAAATCTAACTTTGAGTCAAACAATGCGCCTCAGCCTCAGTCTCCTCAGTTAGTCTTACCGTAAGACTAAGGCTAGGTTGGTTTCAATAGGCGCAGTGATGCATTTAAGTCCATGTTCCAAGAGACTTTCTTTGATGTGACGTAGCTGTCGAGGCACGATATGTGGCTGATTACAAGCGAGGGTCCAGATATCTGTAAAACTTACGTTTAATTGAGGACACTAACTTTATGACAGCAGCGTCAATATCGTGATGAGTTAGCAACGACCAAATAAGGAGTCGAATATAAATTAAAAGATACTGAGAGCGTATTCTCCTCAATCTCGACAATAGTCAAGAACTTAGCAATGGACTCAGGAATACGGTTGAAAAAACAAAACAACAATAAACAGGGGTGACAGTGGTTTACACTGTTTTACGTGAACTCATCTAACTACAAATATGAGCAAGCAATTAACTGTCACCGCTGGTATTGGCCCTCAAATGTGCAATGTTTCGATTACATAGGCCTGGTATTTATCGCTCCCCTGAAACACACAGCATTGCGTATATACATTTAGTGGTAGGCCAAAAGCATTCGAAAGACTTCCTGAAGCAGCCATCCACAGACCATAAAGGAATGGAGAGTGCCTTGAAAGTGAATGAAAGACTGAGTGAACAAATGAGTGAACGAATGCAAAATAATAAACATCGTCACATGACCTCTAACTTGTATCAGATGAACGATTAGGCTTGTGTTCATATTTGTGGGCAGTTGTGATATGGCCAAGCAGAATAACTCATGCCAGTGAGAGCTGATCAGGCCGACGTTGCCTACGTCTCTTAACGTTCCTCAGTTGTTTGCCTCCAATACGACGGCACCCACCTGAGCACATGAGAATATGTTTTACAAAACGCTCAGTTGTTGCATCTGAAACAAGTTTAATGCAAAGCTAGATCAAGATGATTTCACGGAACAGACGAATGTTACCCCTCTCCATCCTCGACACTTTTGATTTATCTTTTGATAGAAAGATGCTACCATCCTGAAATTGGCACTCGAACTGTTTTATCCATGCTCCCACTCTTATCACATTATCGGTTTCAAATAACAGCCAAGTAGTTGAGTGCAGAGTAGAAATATTAGCTACCAACGCGAGGGCAGTCTGTACTTGAGTCTGTATTCACAGCATATACGCCTCTGATTTTCAAGCATGATCGAAGTGAAATGCTGAAGGTAAAATTCTATAACAGTCCGTAGGGCCCAGGCAGGAAAACTGCTACAGCCATCAATGCTGTTTAACTGACAAGTTCTATTTCTGATGGCCCATAGACTGTTAGATGTCTTTTCTTGATAAGAAATCAGACAAAACTTTCTTCAGTTGTCGAGTGTTCAACGTGTATTTTGGATCAATTGAATCTTTAACCTGCTTCAAACCATTCACAGAGAAATTTTAATAATCTGTGGATGTTCGTCA